ATGCACGCGAGCTTGAAAAGTAGCCCCCGAAAATAACTTTTTCCCTGTATCCGATTAACCCAAACTGATAACTCAACCAACCAAGCAGTAACAATACTAACTAGGTCGAGCAAACGCTGCCATCTCGTTCATATATCACAGGTCATTTCGTGCCCACATGCAGTCAAAGATGAGACAGGCATTTAGGCCACGGTAGAGGGTTATCTTTCAAGCATGCAGTGCAAGAGAACAAAGATACTCACCAACCCCTGAAGCCACGGAAGAGGAGAGGGTACGGCATTCTACGCATGTGCAACACAGAGGAAGAAGAGAACACTCGGTAAAAATACATCGAGACTTCTACGAGATTCTACGTGACGACTCCACCGCGTACGAGCATCACCATCCATCCAACGACAGCTATCGACGTCTAAACAGTCACTAACAGACACGTCTATTTTTCACGTTAATTGCAAAGAGTTATTAGCAACAGAGAATATGTGAAAAGTCGACAGGTGCATGTGCAAGAACCACCACCCACAAACATCTATTAAAATCTAAACGGTAACCTAGAAACATTTCTACATTCAAGATAACTACAAAGACAGATGCAACAATTAGAAAGACTCGCTATCAGTGCGTGATATTGTTAACTACATGCTCTATCTACTACAGTGCTACCACCACCACGATCTACAAAACCCACGACTACGACGACGATGACAGTCGAGTTACGGTAAACGGCCAACAATCTTACATCTCTACTGCAACATCTACAGACGTCTGCACTACATATAAAAGCCCCCCCTCTACATTTCCTCATTATCATAATTAGAGGATGGGATTTTTTCCCTTGATCAGGGTTCTCCGCAGGAAATTTCCGTAAGCATGTCGGACAATAACAAAATTCGTCCCCGATTCCTAATTAAACTCGTGTGTCGCAAGTGACCCCCCCTCCCCCCAATTCACAGGTAAACTCGATAAACATGTAGACTCTGTTCTGAGATGTATACATCAAGCGTTGAACAAGCAGCACGGCTGCGTTGGGACCATCGAAATTAAACGCGGCCGAGGGATCGAGACGCTTCGTACGATTCACGCGACCTCGCAAATCGGATTCAGCTTCGAAGGCACGACGGAACCGACACGCGCTATACGAACACTAGGGAGAACCCTGACCGAGAAAAGCTACCACGTGGAAAAGAAAACCCTGTCGCATCGGAGAGAGCGCTCCCCTCCCTCTCCCCCCCGCGCGCGCGAGAGAGAGAAGACCACGTTACCTCTCCCTCGAAGGAGGTGAAGGAGCTCTCTGCGGGGTCGCTGAAGCAGGAGAGGAGGAACGCGACGAGGACGAGCGCCGTCCACACGCTGAACGTCGCAAACCTAAAAATGTCGTCGATGCTGCCCTGAAAAAACGCAAGAGGTCACGCAGATGTAAAACAGAGGTCAAGACACACATCTTACGGACACATCCGATAAAAAATTGTATGTAAAATTGCTCTCATAAAATCATATAATCAAATTAATCTCGTAAAACGGACTAATAAATTCGTTCGATTAAAAGTCGGTCTTTTATGCCACCGCAACGCCGCGATTGGCCGGTGCCGCCTGTCAATCACCGGCGCGCGGACACGCCCCCTCCCGCCTCCCGCACCTGATCCACGGCGAGTCGTATCTTCGTCTGCATCGTGACGACGGCGCACAGCAGCAGCAGCATCCAGAAGGTGAAGAGGAGGCCCGTCGAACGGATCCCCTTCGCGCGCTCCACTTGCACGATGACCAGCGTGTAGAACTGAAAGCGCGGCGAAGACAGAGAGAGAGAGAGATGATCGCGTGGTGACGACCGAGGGGGCAGCGGCGCGAGCGCGTCGCCGGCAGAGAGCCGCGGGGGTCGTTACCGTGGCAACCGGTCGGGGAAGTACGTGCGGCGGCGTTCGACGAATTGTGGTGGGTTGTTGGCCAGGTGACCTGCTGATGGTTACACGCACGCGCAAGCGTACACTCGTATGCGCCTGCACGCACACACAACCACACACACACGCACACATACACGCACGCACGCACGCGCACACGCACACGCGTTGTTTTTTTTACAAATTGTATCACTGTACATTATATAAATCTGTCGGCAATACATTATATATACCAAGCAAAACAAACATTTAACATAAAAGGTATCTTCTCCACACAAGCACACCCGAGCATGTAGACACCATGCTGAATTTGTAAAAAGACCCACCTCGGAAAAAAAAATTTAACCTACCTACCTACCCAAACTTTTCAGCCTGGGTCGGGTAAGGGCAAACAAATATTTTTTTTAATTGTGGCCTAACTTCTGCAACAAACGCACAAGCAGCGCACAATTTCTGTCTTCATTCCTGTCCCGGGACGCACGATTCCAGACCTCACGCCACACGATTCCGGATCTCCCACCACACAGTTCCATTTTTCCCAGCACACAATTCCGGATCTCCAACCCCACAATTCTGGATCTCCCACCACACAATACCGGATCTCCCAACCCGCAATACCGGATCTCGCACCACACAATACCGGATCTCCTACCATACAATTCCGGATCTCCCACCACACAGTTCCGCATCTCGAATCCCGCAATTCCGGATCTCGCACCACGCAATTCCGGATCTCCCACCCCGCAATTCCGAATCTCCCACCCCGCAGTTCCGCATCTCGAATCCCGCAATTCCGGATCTCGCACCACGCAATTCCGGATCTCCCACCCCGCAATTCCGAATCTCCCACCCCGCAGTTCCGCATCTCGAATCCTGCAATTCCGGATCTCGCACCACGCAATTCCGAATCTCCCACCCCGCAATTCCGGATCTCGCGTTCCCCGCTGTTCCGGATCTCGAGGACTCACCACGGACGCGGCGAGGATGCAGGGAGTCACGACGAACACGTGAGAGCTGTTCTCTTGGTCGTGCACCCACTGGTAGAGGCTGTATCCGAACTCCACGAACATCGTAACGAACAGCAGCAGAGCGACGACCTGCAACAGACGAAGCCGCCATCGCCACGGCGACAACGGTTGTACAACCGCGTACGGATACAGGGGAGCCCCGCTGTTGGAAACGAGCACATGGTCTCAACAATAATCTCGCATCTATATAGATATAAAGACCATTTCTGACTCTATTTCTCGAGTTTTTCTGACTTAGTCTGACTTTTTCTTATCTTAGTTCAACTTTGAAAGACGTGTCGGGCTGACATGCGCTAATGGCATGGTGACATCATTCTGAGAGCCTCAGATTATATACCCTAATACCCTAACTGTTACAACAACTCATATGAGAATGGTGCTAAACATGTTTACATTGCCAACGCGCTATTGCTGCAAAGTTGTCTATTTGAGTTTGCTGGTACATAGGCAATACATTATATGTACCAAGCAAAACAAACATTCAACATAAAAGCTATCTCCACACAAGCACACCCGAGCATGTAGACACCATGCTGAATTTGTAAAAAGACCCCCGCCCTCAAAAAAAAGCTGACCTACCTACCCAAACTTTCCAGCCTGGGTCAGGTGAGGGCAAACAAAGATTTTTTTAATTGTGGCCCCAGCATTTAGCACAGATAAATCGCAATCTAACTTGAAATAATTCTTCGCGTCGGAGCAGGATCGACCGCCGCTTTCTCTCGTGACTCACCATCTTGCTGATACTCAGCCAGCTGTGCTTCAGGGTTGGCTTCTTGCTGTACCTCAGCATGAGTAGGTGTGGCACGGAGCACAGCCAGAGGAACGCACATGGCGCCCACACCAGCACGGTCGCCTCGAAACATGGCGTCAGGTCCGGCGAAGTCGTGTTAACCGTGAGGTACTCATCCTAAACATACGCACAATGTCGTTATTTTACACATATCATGATATGATCACGTTTTTGTCCTCAATATACTTACATATCATCCATGGAATTAATATATATATATACTCGCCTGAAGTATGCAGCCAAATTATGCCAAGTCATAGCAATGAAGACCCTTGCTCACTCCAAAAGGGAATACAATTGTTGTTACATACATTACTATATATATGCTGTGCACAGCACTGTGGTGCACAAGCCTGTGGCAACAACGGCTATATACTACTACTACTACCAGGAGTGTATCAATACACTCCTGCTACTACTAGAGCACGAAGGGTCGTTGTCGTATAATGGCGTATAATATCAGGAGTAGATAATAGGGAAAGAGTGTGACATCAATAAACAAGGGAAATTCGTCATTTACTAGCCTTATAATACCTACGATTTACTACGCGTAACTCATCCAACTTGAGCTCAAATCGTACACAGTACATTCGCCTAGCATTGTGCGAAATCGTTTCCTCGTATACACCAGCAATCCGGAGATACAGACTAAAACGTACGACACGATTATCCATTCTTCGGCCATCAATCCAAAAGTATTCCCCGCCGAACTTGCAAACAAAAGGCAGCTACTAATGCACTGTCGCTCACTCGGCGAGGCGGTGTGGCTCGCTGGGAGATTGGACATCGACGCAACACTCGGC